AGAATAACCCTTTCAAATTCATTGAGAGAAACAGTTGGGGAGAACAACAGCGGTTGATGATAAAAAATATTCGGCGATACACATGCATACGGACATTCCTAGACAGAAAAAAAAGTTTTTAGATTTTTAGAAAAAAGTTGTTGATCTTAAGAATCTAATGGTTCTAACATGTCTTGTGTGTTGGACGTTCGAAAAAAATATTGCTGTTTTATGATTTTTCATGTAAAAAAAAAAATGAAAATTGAAGAAAAATTTGAAAAAAAAAATTTTGTATTGTAAAATTGAAAAAAAAATCAAGCAACGATAAAACAAGCCTCTCATTGAAATAATCCCCCGATTAATCTTGAAATCGCGCATCCTCGAGATTCCACTCGACGTCTCTATCGCTGGGATTTTTCAACTCCCCCCTCTCATTCCTCTTTCTGGAGCTTCCTCTCATCCACCATTCCACCTCACCATCTCTTCGCATCTGTATGTAAATGCGAGACTAGAGAATTTTCTCTTCCGGGCAGCCGTAATTTAGGTAGGAAAAGAACGAGGGAGAGCGATGGGGGTAGAGAGGTGGTTTACCTCCCTCACGTTTGTCGAAGGGAGATGGAAAAGTAGATAGTATATACTCGACTATCGCTGGAAGGGCCCGGGTTTCTGGATCGAAAGTCTATTTACGAAACTCCCTCCATAATTCAAGGGAGTTTCTCCGAGTTTCCTGGGTAATTCAGCTCTCAATCAAACTATCCAAACATTACGCACTTTTTATTATTTTTGGATGGGGAGAAAAATTAGTTTTACGTCAGTAAGCGCGGATTATAAATTTACCGGGTTAAATGTTAAGATGACGCTTAATGTCGTGACAGTATGAAATGGTCACCATTAAATTTCAGGGCGACATTGAATGTCGGGATGACATGTAATGTGGTGGCAACATTGACCATCATAACGACATTGAACGTCAAAGCGTCATTGCGCTTAAATACGACATTACACATCAAACCGTCATTCAGCGGTCATAATCTCATCAAATATCGAATAATCCACAATGTTCAAACATTCTCATTTTCTACCAGCAAAACCAACATGACTGTCGACTTCACCCACCTATTCTTCCCCCCCCCCAAGAATTCTCTGATTTCCCTCACAATGTCAACTGCTCGATACCCCCAAGATGATATAAATTATCTCCTCCTGTCGGCCACGCCCCGGTACATTATTGTGCTCCAGCAACATTCTCCGTCGTACGTGCGTAACCATGCACTCGGGCTTCTTACCAGGGCGAACCGATGATATATCACAGCATAGATGTATTTACGAGTGGAAAAAGAGCCCGGGAGAAAAAAGAGAGAATCAAAAAATAAAAGAGAGAGACACCAGAAGAATGGAGAAAGACCGGGTGGCTCGAGGAGATAGCGAGATACGAATACACCGGGGGATGTGGTGGGGGCATTTGCTTTCGGTGAAAGCGGAAGGGGGGGGGGGAGAGTTGAGGACTCCGAGCCCTGGGAGAGGGATGAGGGTGGGTGGGCTACGTTCGTTTTCTACGTCCCCGCAGACGTCCAAACCGACTTGATGTACGACTCCCTTGCGCATAGCCGAGCGGCATAACTTTTATCTTATACCAGCTCAGCATGATCTTCGCGGGGTCCAAACGCCAGAGATCCCAAGCGATATTACCACCTACGCGTTTTGTAGTGGTGGAAAATGGACGGGTTTCCCCTTTTACTGTTGTATTTTATAGGTGGTGTAAAGGGGGCGGAAGGGGGAGGGGAGGGGTGGGAGTTGGAACGGTTAACGCAGCCATTTTACGCCTTGAGAGGCATTTTCAGATACGTTTTCACATCTCATCCGAATTTTAAGTAAATCCAGTTGAATTTATATTGAGGGGAGACAGCTAGGGTTTTTATTTACTTTCGTTATGGGGGGAGCATAATGGGTGGGAGAAATGTGTCAAGGTGTGGGGGGAGGGGGTGGGAATGGGCGGGTGGAGATGACAATTTTGGTGCGCGAAGGGGATGAAGGTGAGGAATAAATATTTTGACGGGTTTTGAGGGAGTAATATGGGAATGGTTATGGGGATGGGAGGAATTGGAGGATGCGACTTGAGCTCGAGGGACTGGGGGATTGCGGAGGGATTTTCAGACCTCCTGGTGTGGATATGGGAAATGTTTAGGGGAGGTTTGCATGAAGTGGCAGGGAATTCACTGAATTGTAGATATTTTTGAAATTTTATCGACATTCAAATTTTTTATTCGCATAGAAATTTTTTTTAAATTGTTTTTTTATGTGAGATATTGAATTTTAGATGAATTTAAAAATAAATCGTTTTTTTAAATCTCCATTTTAAGAGTACTGAGAGAGTGAGAGTGAAAAGTAATTTCATATTTTTTCAAAATACTCTTCCATTTTTTGATAGATTAAAAATGTATTGCAATTAATTTTTGTTATGATATCCGGAGGATTTATTACATTTTCAGAAATCAAAAATAAATGTCAATAAATTCGGAGATTTAATAGGGAAACACGCAAACTATTGTAGAAAGCGATGGAAATCCCGTTGACATTGCGGCTTTCGATTCAATTTTATCGTCCCTTTGAATCAAAACATTCGATAAATCGAGGAGAATAATGGCGGTTGCATTGATTATATTTAATCAGTGGTTCGATAACGGAACCAGATAAGACGGTAATTACAAGATAGATAATTGATTCGTGTTTAGTTAAACAAGTATTAATTACTGTTGACAGAATTTTCCTCGTTAAAACAATTTATCCGTAACTAGCGAGTTTTTACTCGAGGATTATAATTTTCATTCATGCCGAGTATGCAAATTTCAAGGTTTTGCAGACTGAAGAGTAGAATATGTAAAGCATCAATACAGTTTTGCCATGGAATTGAGGTGAAAAATGATGAACAAAAAATGTTCAACTACCAAAAAAAAATGGCAGAAGACAGTATGTTATCACATGAATAGAAAATTTCTAGTAAATTGTATTTCGATCATTCATAAATAAAGAATCGACGAAAAAGCGGAAAAAATTCTAAAAGATTTTTCTTGTAATTTTTTTTTAGTCGAGGGCGAAATTTTTCTAGCATTTTTTAATTCCATCCAACTCTCAAACAATACGAACATTATATCACCACATAAATTTGAGATTGAATCCAAGCAATTTATGATTTTCTGTAAAATTGAATGCAAGGAAAAAAATTTTGAATCATGACCTTTTACAAACTGAAAAAAATTTAGGGTGAAATTTTTCTAGTTTCAATAACATTCATTTCATCAACTTCTCAAACAATATGAACATTATATCACCGCATAAATCGAAGATCGAATACAAGCAATTCTGATCACTTGAAAAAATTCTACAAGAAAAAAAAACAAATTTTTTAAGTTCCAACAAAACAATTTAAAACCTCGAGGCTTCCCAGACAATATAATCATTATTCTCGGATTACGAGCAGAATGTTCTTATTTCCCGAAAAAGCGCGTTCTAATCCCAAAGGATTTCAGACAAAATAATTGTCCTATTTTTCTATCATCGTTCTATTCCCGTAAATTGTGTACATTTCCCCCAAAAGCGTTCATCCCCATGAGCTCCCCCCGCGCCCACCTCGAAGCTTGCAAAATGAAACCCCTCCAAAAAAAAGATGAAAAAAAAATAATAGAAATGGAGAGTAACGATCAGAGGTTGTGAAATTATACGGTGAGCATTTCTCGATTGCCTATATAGATCGCAGCGAGTGGTTATATTTGCCATACGTCGCGCGCGCCCTTTTTCCACCCTCCGCCCCGTGAGAGGGGACGAGTGAGAAGAGGGATGTCGGAAAGGGGGCGGCAACCGCAGCACTGTCCTCTCTCTGGAGGGGGGAGGGGGGTCAGGGCCGAGGGGGTGGCCACCCCAATTTCACCCCCACCCCATCGACAAACCAATATTTATTGATCACCCCTGAATCGTGCCGGGTATGTTTCAGTGTCTCGAAGTGCTACGACATTGCGTAGGGACCCATCGTGAAAAATAATTCGGAAAAGATGTGAGAGGAAGAATTGGTCGGAGAAAAGTCTGGATCGCACAGCTGTTCCGTCTGAATCCCAACAACACGAGAGAGGAATACGAATGGATGTCCCTTTTTTATCTGTGTGGATTTTTTTTATCGCCGGAAAATGTCTCTCCCTTTTACTTTGAAGATTCGAAATCCACGAGTATTGAGAGAGCTTTATAGATAAGTGATGCATTTTGTCAAGAGGAATTGATGATGAGATTGCGCAGAAGAGACGGATTAAATTTGGGATATTGCACGGAATTTATAGGATATTAAATGTTGCGGAGACGTACGATGTCGTGGTGACGGAGAATGTCGAGATCACATCGAATGTTGTGACATTTAATGTTGAGACGGGAGTGAATGTTATGAGAAAATTTAATATCCAGGCATTTAATGACTAGGCGATATTTAATGTCGGGGCGACATCAAACGCTCAGGCGACATTTAACGTCCTGGCGAAATTTAATGTCGAGATGAAACTCAACGCCCAGTTGACATAAAATGTTGAGGCTTCATGGAATGTCGAAGCGGCATTAAACGTCCTGTCAACATTGAGCGTTCAAGCAACATCAACTTTGTTGCCGACATAGAATATCAAGCCGATAATCAATGGAAATAATTTGATCAATTATCAAATTAAATTAACAGTGAGTTAACATTTGATTATCATCAGCTTTCAGTGAATGAAAATCTCAGAGATTTTGCGGAAAACACTTATCAGGGACAAAATCCTATTGAAAAACCCCACAATCTCCCGTTAAACATCTCGATTATTTACAAACTTACAGATACACCGATATCTCGGTAATTACACCTCGACATGTTTACAAGTCGCAGCAATGAATGAGAAAAAAAATCAATTAATTGAGAATGGAAAGCGGCGCAAAAGCAGGAGAATAAATGAAAAAAGAGAAAAATAAATAATACTGAGAAAAAAAATGAAGCAAAAAGCGAAACTCACCTTGCAACCATGTCCAATGCGGCTTAGCGATATCGTCCTTACCTGAAGCAAATAAAAGAAAGAAAAAAATAAAGTTAATGCAGCCAATAAATTGGGTAAATTATAATAAAGTATATTTCTATTGCGCTTATGCAAGAAAAGGAAGTGAAAAAAAAGTTCCTGTATAAAACCACAAATAACTTGAATTTATTTCATCGCAAGAAGTGAATTACGCTGGAAACTCCAGCATCTCGCGGTCGTTTGTGACGGCAAAAGAACATCGACAAAAAACAGCTTGCGGAAAGGGTTAAACGGATGGTTGAATTTTAGTGGATAAATCAATTCTCCAGTGGCTTAACGACGACGACGATCATCTTAGAGTTGGAGAAGGATAAAAAATTGAGGGTTAAGATGTCGCGGGAAGAGTAATCAGAATATTCTTCAAAAAATTTTATCCAAATTTCAATTTCGTTGATTAGCAGTCATCCACCTTGCCCGAAATATCTATCTACAGAATCTCAATTTAACCAAGCGTTTCCCAATTTTTCAGTGACTTTTTCCTTCATGTATTCATAATTGCATAGCGCCCAAGCGGTTATAGGTAACCCCCCAGCCATATTCTAGTTTCCCTCCGGGTATACCACAGCAGTGAGACCGGCAAATAGAGGAGCAACCAGAGGGTAGAGAGGTGTATGCTCTATGCCAGTGTTATATCCAGAGAGATCGTCCGCCGCATTGTGCATCGCGATAGCGCCATCGTCGCTCTGGGGGATGAGAATACAGAGGGTACAAGCGCGCATCTCTCGGCCGCGGGCCGCCAAATGATCCAGAACACCAGTGGGAATTGGGTAGCGCCACTGGTGATGCTCGTGGTGGTACCACTGGACGATTCTCTCGGTGCATGCATGCAAGTGAGAAAGAGACAGCAAAAGTCACCGCGTGCTCGTAACTCACCGGACTGATCTACGACCTGTTTAGTAGTTCTACATCAACGTTAGCCGTCCTCCCCACCGGACGAATCGGGAGGCGTTAATAGGGTTGGCGGAGTCAAACCCCGGTAGGAGGCAATGCTATTGCCAAATGAAAAAAGAAATATCAGAAAAGGGTGATGTGTGAAGGTGTCTGTGGACACTCGCCCAAATGATGCTCTTTAACACATCAGCTTTCTCGGATTATTTTGAAGACTTCAGCTACTCTGAAGTTGTCAAATGGAAGATGCATGCATCAGAAGTAATCTCATAACCGTACCAATCACTCGGATCCGCCTCAGCTCCTGAAATCTGCAGACCGATGGCTTGGTGACTGGTTATTAGATTATTGGCCATATCGACAGCTCATGCGTTGCCCCAGCAATATATACGAGAGGGCCACAGCATCGATATTGGCGGGATACGAGGGGCAACTCCAGCAATAACCGAGTGTCTCCGTGTGTGTGCGAGAAGCACCTCGCCGATAGTTGGAATCCGCGTGTACGCGTTGACTATACAAATAGGCGAGGGAGTAGGTGGATGAGAGACGTGGGAAGTGGGAGGAAGGACAAAATGGGGAGAGCGTGATAACGATAACGTACGATCGGCATTAGCTGGTGGCTTGCTTGGGCTGATGGATGCGCTAATTATCAGCAAACAGGAGTTACAATGTTTCGCGTTTAGTACGAATGACTGGCGCCAGGCTCGTGGCTTTGGTCTATTGAAAGAATGAGTCTGCTGTTTACACTCTTATCAAAGGATGCAGAAAGATGGTGATATCGAATGGTCAACTGACAGCTATAAATCATCAGAGGGCAACAACTCATCTCCCGTTTTTCTTCATTCAACTGATATTTGATGTAGAACAGTGGAATTGTTAGAGAGGAAGTTGTATGAGTTTCCAATTCGTGCTTGTATATTTCTACGTTCACCATTGCCGATACGTTATCACCCAGTACCTAACCAATATATCTGGCTACATTGGAGACCACAGTTCGCGGTCTAAGCAATGGCTGCATCCTCTCTCCAATATATGTTTCACCCAGAGTTGCCAGAAGGCACGTGCGTTATTCGATCGAGAAAGGACCAGTGAGAGGGAGAGAAGAGCAGAGGCAGAGGATTATTGCACAGGGGAAAGGGCTTTGTAATAAACACTGTCGCTTGTTTATTTAATGGGAAATTCGGTGGCGCCATAAAGCTTCAAGGAGACCCAGACTTATGGAGCAGTCGAGTGAGGGGAAGTGAAACCTATTAAATTTATGTTTTTGGTTTGCTCGGACTGACGGATCGCACGCGCCTCTCTCACTTGGCTATTGGACGTTGATTATACTCATGCGTGTGTGCATTTTCATGTTTATACGGTATTGGTAGTCCTGTGTAATCCAAACGGAGATTCATTGCTCTGTTGGTGAGGGACTGGAGGGAGAGGTGGGCTGGCTGGTGTATGGGCTCGGGGATTTAAACGAGGGACAGAGGGATGAGGATGATGGTGGTACTGGCGCCTGTCCGCGTGACGGACAACGCAACGTCAGCGCGTAAACCGTGACGTTTCTCAGCGCTCTGCTACCCTCTGACGATCTATAACGACGTTAATGCAAGCCCTCGTTGTGTATGTACTCTCCTCTCTTCCGTCCCTCCATCCTCAATTCTCCCTCATAATAACCCCGGGAACAATCCCCTAATGCGACCCGATAAATTCCTTCGTTAGACCTCCCAGTGTTTCACATGAACTACCAGAATACACCCCCTAAAATGGACTTAGCGAATCGACTATCAAAAAGTTTGACCTTTTTCCACGGGATTTCAGGTTAATCACGTCATTCTTATCGGATTGTTCTGAGGCTATCAAAGAAGAGAAAAAATATATCTCCATACAGATTCGATCATCAGGCGTTAATTCTCAGCTACTGACGCCTACTTTGAGGTTGTCAAATGAAAAATATTATTTTAGGAGAATTAAATTCGTTAAGGTGTCTATGAGGCAGTGCCTCGGAGGCAACCGCCCAAATAATGAAAATTTTTCTCATTTTTCTCGGATTATGTGGACTATTCCGCCTATTCTGAGATTGTCGAATGAAAAAATTATATTAGGGGAATTAAATCCGCGAAAGAGTCTATGAAAAATTGAATAATGATATTTTTCTTATCATTCCTCCCGAATTTTCTTGACTACACCATCTATTCTAATATTGTTAAATATACCAAAATGTATTTCATATAAAAAAAAATTCTCCGTCTAATAATAGCAGATTAAATGAGGTTGTCGAATGAAAAATGCATTCATCAAAAGTAATTCCTCATGATTCCAGGCGGAAAATTGATGGTTTAAATAGGGTAAGACGCTTTTTGTAAATGATATGGTTGGAGCTAGTTGGGATGAATGTTATCTGTGACGGTGAAATAGAGCTGATGGGAGACAACCCGCGGCGCGAGGAAGTACCCAACTTTCCTGAAGACGATGCGTTATCTCTTTTTCGTGCAAACGGCCAACAATTCCGGAGGGGTTGGGGGCAAAGTTTTAGTCCGATGCAGAGTTTTATACAGCTCATTCCACGGCGAGTGTATGAAGACCTTTGTAGGAGGATGAATGGGTGGAAGAGGTGATAAATCGTTCGGGTGGGGCAGGAGAAACTGAGGTATTCTTATTTGTTTCGTTTTCATTCTTCATTTTCATCTGTTGGAATCTTCAAGAAATTCCTGAAAAATTTGTTTCGAAAATTCTCTGACTCTTCAAAATTTGAGGAAATTCCTCTTTTCTTTTAATCCAAGAAAACTTTTGAGTGTTACGGATGCGTTTTGTTTTAAATCCTGAATAATTATCCTTGACATCACTGATTTGTATTCTTTAGAGTTGAGGAATTATAAATAGTGTCGCCTCAGCGGAATATTCCAAACTCCCTAATTACCAAATTTTCTTCGCCCTTCATTTAGCACAATAATTGCTTCCGTGCACCCCATCGGCAGGGGCTGTGCCCTCTCGCAACGCCCTACGCTCTCAACCCATCACCCGTTTTTTCTTCTCTCTCTGAAATCCCCCAAGCTCACATCTTATAGGGTGTGTTACAGCCCCTTGAGCGCTTCGTGCCACCCTCCGTGTATCTATCTTTTATCACGAAATTTCACAACGAAAGACCTTAAATTCTTGCGAATCCGTGTTTAATCGACTCTCCACCACCTCCATCTCGAGTCGATATAGCGCAGACCCGCACCCTGCATTCGTGTAATAAATCGCGCTATAATTGCACTTCAAAAAATTAGACTCTCAAATAATCTCTTTATCCGGAGAAAGCCACATTTGCGAAATGTACAAATTTTTAGGACAGTGTCTTAATTTAAGAACCGGGACGGATATTATTCCGTCGCTTGATAATTTAGGACAACTTTAAGACAAATATCTCCATTTGAGACGTCTTAAAATCCGATTTTTTCAACTTTTGCTGCTTGAAAATTCAGAACAACTTTAAAGCGAATGTCTTAATTAAGACATTTTATTTAAGACACTCTAACAGGGTTAATGTCTTGACTTTAAGTCTTGTCTTTAAGCGTCTTAAATTAAGTCTTGAAGACACTACTTTTTGCAGTGTTGAAGGCAATATGAATTCACCGTATTTAGAACTTTATTTACGTTGAATTTATTTCTGAAATGCATCACTCGATGCACGTGCATAGTTACAAGGCCTACGAATACTCGATTCTTGTGTATTTTTCGAGGAGTCACGTACATTCAGTGGCCGCTGGTGTTTACGTAACTTGACGTGCAAAACTGTGAAACGCAAAATTCAGGATTATGTCATTCTCGAAGAGATTGAGTGGGCAAAAATAATAAGTGGAAGGCTAAAACCGTCGGTATTACGTAGTTGAAATCGATATATGCGGCACAATCTAAAACCAAAAATAAGCGAAATTATTTGCATGAAAGTTTAATTTGTGAAAATTTACAATCATTATTTAATTGTACATTCGCATGAAGAGAATGTCGATTTTTCCCTCTTTCCATTCGTATCGGATAAATGAATATTGGATAATTGCAATGGAACAAATTACTGACAATGAGAAAGGGAGATATGTCTAATTACTCTACTTTATTACCTTGTA